TGGCTCAAGCCTGGCTCGAGTCCTCGAGTCTGGGTGTGACCTGGGCTCGAGCCCTCGAGTCTAGGGGTCTCTCGAGCCGAGCCGGCTCGAGTCCAGGTCTGGGCTCGGCTCGAGCCGGCTCGTGAACAACACTAGCCGCGATCATACAACCTGAACCTCCGGCTGTAGAAGAACCGGAGTAGAAGCCTCGAGATGACTGGTTCCAATCAAACTCGAAAGTGGGAGGATCACTGGGCAAGAGGTAGATGTGGTGGAAGAACGTCACCTTGAGATCTGCCTCCCGGTATACCACCGCTTGTGTATTGATGTATTCTGGCACCTTCTCTGCCTCAGTTTCTTTGCCATTTAGAGGCTCCTTCATGGAAGTTTGTTTCGAGGGGGGTGAATTGCGTGGGTATCAGTGTTGAAAAATGATTGCTACGGAGGAAGTGACCCATAGTGAAGGTTTTACGCAGTGGAGTGGAATGGCTCAAGTGGAGACATGAGGTTTGACTTAGGTGAAGATGAAGACCATGATTGATTGTCACAAGATAATAGAAAGGAAGAAAGTTTGAAGCACAGGAAGAAGTTTCTTGTAAGAGAAAAGGCAAGAAAAGATAGGAATCAGAAAAAGCTTTCATAGCTTATGCGTCCTTCAGCAGTGCACTGGTAGACCACTACAGCCTCCACCTGCGGGAACATCCCGCACCAAGTGCGGCCATCAACTACTATTTCCAACAATCAGCTTCCACAGAGTGACCAGTGATAACCTGTGATTGGGTTTGGTCCTTTTGGGGGAGGCGTATCAGGATAGTTTCTTCTTTGAGAGCTCAAACAAGGGTGCTACTTTGGGTTTTGACTTTGGCGACTCGAGATATCGTGGCTTAGAACGGGTCAGTTTTCCAACCGCTTAGCTCGATATGATGCCAAGGATTAGAATCGAATTGGGTTCGCAAGTTTGCGGGTAAAATATAGGAATCAAACACATACCCGTGAAAAACTCAAATTTTGTAGGGAACGATGCAGGGTTGCCAATAATTATATCAACACTAGTCCATTCCGGAAGCTAGGATTTAATGAAAATAGTCCAACCCAATCCACCTCCAGCCAAATATATCTAAGGGTCATATTCCGTGCATAACCCCCACTAATCCTCACCATCATCATCACTTAGCCCCCACTCTTCACTTTCGCTCGCGCTCCCAAGCTGGCTCCAACCTTCTTCTTCATCCTCAATTTCTCCATTCTCCCACTCACTCCCACTCCCATCATCATCGTTCATCTCGTCACCCTCGCCCAGGCCATCCTTCTGTAGCCCAAGCATTAGCTCATCAACCTGCTCCGGCCTAAAGCCGTGCCCATTCGCGCTCCCCAGATGATTCCTCAAATCGTACAATCTAGCATATCTCCATCGACATCCATCGACGGGGCACGCGAGATGTCTACCAGAATTTTCGTACCCATAGCCACTTAATTCCTCAATAAGCCCCAACCTCCTGATCAATGCTCTTGGTCTCCCAGATTTTCTTTCTCCCGACTTAGTCTCCGGGTTTGGGTTGTGCGCCCGGGAAATGTGCTTCTGAAGCGGGGCTTTGTATTGGAAATCCCTGGGACAGTGCGGGCAAACAAATGGTCGGTATCCCTTGTGGACGATCCTAACATGGGTTTTGACATATTGGGGTTTAGTCAAGCCCTGTCCACATATCTCGCAGATATGGGTCCTACGCTTGTCGAGGGGTATGTCATGTTTGTTGTGTATATGCAGCTTTAAAGCTTTATGATTGGGCGAGCGGTGGGAGCAGTGCTGGCATGTTGGTGGATGAGCTGCGTTGGTGTGGGCACGGAGCTCTCTGTAAGAGCTAAAAGAGGTTGTGTCCGGCAGAATTGTGCGTTGGATGGGGAAGGCTGTGTCATTTGTGGATATGTCCTCCAGCGGGGGCGGACCGGGATTCTTCTGGCAAATGTCACACCAGAACCGGAGTTTTGGGATACTGCTGTGCTGGGATGCAATGTGGGTCTCCAGTTTCCGTTTTGTGTCGCTTGCGTATGAGCAATGCTTCGTAGAATCGTCGGCGTCCATATGAGGACATGCCCAGGGAAGCAACCCGCAGTGGGTTTCTCGGATGTGCCGTGCCAGCGGCCCACGTTTTCGGAAACCCTCATTACAAGGGGGATAATCCACACACTGTGCAACTGTTATCAACCCATCTCCACAAGCAAGACCCCACAAAGGGGAAACCTACAACATGGGGGAAAGACTTCTGATGGCTTTCCAAGTGCCTCTTAAGGTGCTGGTTCGTAGTAAACCTAGCCCCGCACTCCCTCCCACCGTTAACCACCTTCCCTCCCTGTCCTGCAATCCTCTTGAACCCAAAATCTCCAAGCTGAGCTTCCTCCCCTTCGGGGATGACAAACGTGCATACATAGCGCTTGTCCTGCAAATGCTTTGCTCGAGTGTGCGCTTTAAGATGCGACTCCCTGAGGAAGGACATATCGCACCCCTCAACCGAACATTGAAAAGGCCGTTCGCCAGTATGACTTCGTAGGTGCTCCGCTAGGCGGCAGGGGCGGGTGAAGCGCTTGTCGCATCCAGGTTCGGTGCATGGAAATTCTGGTAGACCACGTTAGCACCTTGGTCCGGGAATCTAAATGGTTAGCATGGTCGTGGTACTCTTTTCTCGAGGTTTTCCAGCTGCTTTCTTCTCTGGCGCCCACTTTGGCACTGGCTCCGGTGCTGGTGCTAGCTCACCAAGCTCAACGATAGTTGCCTCAGCAGTTTTCTTCTTCAGTTTGGAGCTCGGGGGGGAGCTCGTAGAGGATGCCGAGCGTTTCCGAGGTCCCTTGGCTACAGAAACAGGATTTTCTGTCGCTGGTGGTTTTGTGGAAGGGATTGCCTCCACCGGTGCGGCAGAGGTGAGCTTCACACGCCCGGGCATTTTGAGCTATGTTCAGCGATTTCTGACGTAGAATTGATGAGTTTGTTCCCTTTTGTATCGTGCTCAGAGGAAAATAGTTGAGGATTTGTGCGCGCCAAGATTTCATCATTCGTAGTAACCCTAACCCCGAGTTAGTTTAGGGCCTGTTTGGCAACAACCGTTCCGTTCCGTTCGCCCATACAAATTGCCTTCTGGTTCCGTTCGCGAACGGCCATTTTGGATGTACGAGCGGAACGGAACCGCCGTTGCCAAACAGGCCCTTAGCTGCCACCCGAAATCCAATTTACCCACCTAATACAGGACTCGAGGGTCGAGCAGGCTCAGTGGAGTGGCTGGGAGGAAGGGTACTCATCACCCTCAAGTCCCTCACACTATGATATAAGCTATCAACCGTAGAGAAAGGGTAAATAACTAGAGCCAAGAAAACGGAGAAAATAGCTAGGCCAGGCCCTAATCACAAATGCATTTCCCCAGCAAACCGCTCCGAGAACCAGCATGGGGTTCTTTCCTGGCCGAAAGTGCCCTCCATATGATACTATCAGAAGCAATGGCTTGGACCACGATGTTAAAAATCCTTCAATATTTTCTCCTCGTCTTTTTCCCGGATCGTGCGACAATATCCTTGCTCGTTACTTAGAGGGCAAACAAGTATTATTGTAGTCTGACGACTGCTGTATCGTTCAGACTCCCTATCAAACTCCTTAACAAACTCCTCTCAATGTCACCTAACAGTGGTATTAATACCTAATTTAAAAAATATCACAAAACAAATATAAACACGTTCTGTAAATCCTACTCAGGCTAACTACTTTTATCACAAATACCTTCAGTTGGTAATTAGTCTTATATATATGAGCACACTTCTGAAAAAAATATATTGGTATAACTTATAAAAAACTAAGAGGAATAATAAACCAAATTGCTACAAGTACATGTATAATGATTTATTTTCTAGAGTAATTATCAGAAACCCACTTTTCCTTCACCCAGCATTTCATCCTCTTCTTCTCAGAAATCTCATCAGTAATAACCAATTCAGAAGAACTTGTCTGATGGTTATTCTGACAAGCAACCTCTTCCTGATCTTGTTGAGTATGGCCACAGCAGGGGCTACTATTAACCCATTCCTGAACAGCTATATGATCTTCTGGTATAAGAGGTGTATTGCTCAATTGATTGGATTTTGAGTCAGCCTCACCAATAATAGATAAAGAGTTGCTGCATGAAGCACACTTCTCCTTCAGAAGAACAACACTATCTTGTGAACCAATGGTGTTTGGAGAATCCTGGAGTTTTCCTTCCTTCTTGCAGATAGTATGACCACAGGAATAATGGTAGTAGAGCTGAGAATTGGTAGTCTCAGTCATTGAGGAAAGATTTAAAGTAAGACTGTAGAAAAAAATCAGAAAAGGATTGATAAAAACTTTATCTGTTGTCTTTGATATCCTTGGTTTGATGTATCCAATCAATGTAGGTTTGGAGGAAGCCTGATATGAAGGATTTGGTATGAGTGAGGTGTTAGGCTTAGAGTTCTGAGATGACAGAAAGGAAGAAGCATAGGCTTAAATAATTTACTACAAGAAATACTACATTGTCATAAAATCAACTCTACTATTTTCTAACTACAATACTTTCAATTAATCTGAGCGGTCATACAAATGTATGAGTAGGTTATGGTCCTAAAAAAAACTACCACCCATACTACGTAGGCTTGCAGGGGGTTTCAAAAAAGTATCATACATACAATAGATCTAATTAGTATTATCATAAAAGTCCAATGCTATTACCATGGCACGACGCTCTTTGAATCTCCCTACTAGACACCGGCAGGAAACTACAAAGCACAAGGGAACCTCTCTGCTGGGCTTCCCCACAAAACCTACCACTCAACTTCAGCGAAGCGTTCCGCGTTAGATGTGGAGAAGCCGAAATAGTACAAAAAAAAATCAAATCACCAAGGTAACCAATAGAAACAACTTTACAACCCCGGCCTATGAAAAGAGAAACACGAAACTCAAAAATTTACTCCAAAGTGTCATCCTTTCCTCCAACTCAGGTATCCCATAACTGACACCCTAAAGCTATTTCGAGATGATTCAAAAAAAGCAAAGCGGCAGGTTGTGGGCGAGTTGTCTCAGTCCCTGAACGTCGAAGGAACGGCTCAACTGCATAAGCCCTGACTCTGCTGCTTGAACCGACCCGGGCGCAGCTCAGCCGGACTATCTCAGCTGCAGCACTTGGCCCTACTAATACGGACACCAAGAAACACAAAATGGGCGTATATATATATATCCCCACGCATCTCCAAATCTCACTCAGTCATTTCTACGCGAATAGAGGATCGTGAGGACCAAAGAAGTATTCAAGTTTCCAACTTTGGAACAAAAAAACATGACAGGAAGTTATGTTTCCTTCCATAGCGGATACCATCTGCCAATAAGAAAAAAAGAAAATTATTTTTCTTTTCAAAGTCCCCCCCCCATCTGTCGGCCCTTGACACAACATGGATTCAGCCTCGTTGAAACCGATTGACTGTTCGAGCCAGAATTGAGAAGTTCTCTTGGATGAGGAACACGCACAGAACACTAAACTGTAGTTTTTCATCCTCTCAACAAAAAAAAATTAATTTCTTGAAAGACGAACTATAAGTCTTTCACACCGTCCCCTACGAACGGAAGGGCATTTAGGTGCTCGATCCTTCCACGTTGTTCTCGTCCGTCTTTCCTTACTCTCCGCTATTTCCTCCCCGTAAGATAGCCGGTAGAGTACAAACCGAATTACAAACACTTCCCCCGCCACCCGACTCCCAAATATACCAAATCGATCTTTACCTCCACATTTAACCCACACACAAAATAAAAGAAGGGGGAAAAGAAAAGAAAAAAAGAAATGTGCATTCACCACACAACAACCTTCATCTGCGGCCACGTCGTCGCAGCAACAACCCCTTGCAAAGAGAAGTGCCCAATCCCCGATCAAGCAATCGCCATCCTCCCCGCGAAGCTCGCCGAAACATCCTGCCTCCCGTGCGTGCGGAAAGCGCAAAAGTCCCGGCTGGAGCAAGTCCAAGCGAGGCTAGATACGACCCTCGATGAGGTCTCCTGTCTGCTGGGCCGCGCGCAGCGCGACTCCGGCTATATCAAGCGGGAGGTTGAGAGCATCCGCGCGTGGGTGGGCCTGCTGGAGCGCAGGAGGGATAACAGGGATGGGGGCATCTATGACGAGCTGAAGTGGGTCATTAAGTATTCGAGGGAGTACGCCGACGATCTGGAGAGTGGGAAGTTTATTGGGCAATTTGCGCTTTGGTGCAGGGTGAAAGGTGAGAATGGGCTCGAGGGGTACCCCGCGCAGGAGGGTGGGAAGGGGTATGGGAAGATGTACGATGAGGCGTGGGAAAGGTTGCTGGCGCCGAAGAAGCCTGGGGATGGGTTCTCGGAGGAGTTGGTGCCCGTAGCGGATTCGGATAATAAAGGAAAGAACGCCAGCGGAGGGGATTGATCTAATATGCCAGTCATTTCGGGCTCTACTAGACGTAGAAGTGTAATTTGAACCCCCCCCCTCCCCCTCCACATTTATCCTTCTTTTTTTCCTGCATCTTAAATGTAGAGCTATAGTCATAGATAGTCCCTGCATAACCCGTACAAGAAATATAATATCGCATCTTCATTCAAAGTAGCGTTTGCCATTCCATCTTGAAATCTCGCGAGTTGTGCTATCACCATATGCCCTGGTAGTATTTGCCGAAATATGACTCCCGTTTAGTACAGCAAGGTATGATACTGGGAGAGAATAAACTCCCTAATTTTATCAAAAAGGGCATACAAGAATACCCGGGATAGTAAATATACCGCACCATACAACCCACAATCCAATACCCTGGCGTAGTATACAAGTCAAGAGCTACCGGTCGAGCAACAATCTACCGCACTACCGGCAGTTGAAGTCAATTTAAGCTCATAATATTGCCATTATTATGCTACCCCGCATCGGGGATCTACTGGTAGGGATTGTACCGGTAGGTGGAGCAAAAAATCCACGTGGGACCTGACCATATCAGCAGCATCAGTAGCGGATGAATTCTCATCCCACACTCCACTCCGTAGGCCGCTCTAGCATACGCTGAGGCGATAGCCCCCTGAGTATGATACCTTCTCAGATGACGCTAGTGCACACCAAGGTCGATATGTCCCCCAAGGCTGTTTCTTCACGATTAGTTAGACCCTACAAATCCTGCGGGAAGTGCAATATGATACTATGAACTGACTAGACATAGTAATCCACTCTCGAAGCGTTAAATCTTATGTCCCCTATTTCCCCTAGAAAGCGCGGGATGGCAAACCCGCCCATCGCCTTTCCCCGCGCCAGACCATAACATCCTCCCGCGCACCACCTGCTGCTTCTATCACAATTGGTCACTCGATTTCTACTCGGCAATCAGGTTCGCAACCCTCGGTCCATGAAAACGGAAATCAAATACCATTCGCGTGGTACGGGTATGGCGCTCGAACCGAACTCCCCCTCCTATAGCCTAGAGTAGTAGACTGTTCAACAACCTAACACCCGCCCGAATAATTGCTACCCAGCGCTTCCACTCCCCGGTAGCATGTTTCACCGCCGAGTGATCCATAATGACCCACCTGAAATGAAAGCTGCTACTGATCAGTCTGGCATTCAAGAATATCATTTTAACCATCTCAAGTTTAAGGTGTTACGTTACTCCCCCAGACACGCACGCGCGTACCGACACCAGCAACCCAACGCCTTTCAGACAACCTCTTGAGAAACGTAGGAAGGAAAAGAGAAGAACCCGGCTAACCTAACCGGCGACCCGTTTTTCAAAGTTCGCAACCGGCACCATAGTATATATACCGGTCCGACGCCACGGTGTTAGCTATCCATCAAGCTCATCCAGAGTCCAGCAAGAGATACCCACATCACTACTACTCTCCTAGCTATAAGCAATCCCGCAAATAAATCCTCACTCACCAACCCATCAACCAAAATGTGCATCCAAACGATAACCTCCTACGCTTGTAGCCACCTCTCCACCACTATTAACAC